CTACAACTGACAGTGATATTAACAAATGTGATTTTTTTTGAATATTACATAAAAAGGTCAATATCTGTAACTCAGGGAACCAGTATTTTTCAGATGACCAACACATTAGTTTAAAAAAACAATATGATATGTCAAATACATTCTACTGTCATGTATAACTAAAAAGAACAAATTTTAAAAAAGTTTAAAAACCATGCATGGATTAAAAAAAAAACATTCAAAGAGCAAAACAAACCAATGGATTTTAATGTAACAGAATACAAAAAAGTAAGCTGGTATGGTTTCAGAGTCTACACTACAACTACCTGTAAAAAACAATGACTTGTCAACTTAGGATATGGGATCAAAGAACATATGCAATTGTCTGAAAAAAGATATTAAAATATCACTCTCCTTCCAAAAGCTGCTATCTGAGGTCCAGCTTTCCTCAGTATTTCATGCAAAACAATATGTCACAAGAGAGTAAATGAAAAACAGATATATGAGAATCTATCTTTCATTAACTAAGACATTTATGAAAATTCAAAACAATGTTACTCTTCTTGCTAAAATTTTTGGAAAATTGTTATTTTTAAAAAAATGTTATTTATTTTAGTGTGTAATAGGTTTATTACTGCTATTTTAAAATAATCAACAGAAATTTTAAAGATCTATTTTAATTTCAATAGATATAACCCAAATAAATTTCAAATTTCAATGAGTTTTGTATAAAGGAATCCTGAGGTCATAAAGTTTGAGAATCATTAGTATAAGTATCATCCAATAAGAGGAAGGCCCTGTCTAATTTCAGAAATGAAGTCAGAATTACGTAAGAAAGCAAAACTTTACTTTCAGAAAAATGTAAGTAAGGGACATTTTCCTACCCTGCTTTTATGAAAAGGTATAATCCAGTCTTTTCTAAGATGTCTCCAGCTTTAAATTTCATTTTCATTAATAATCATGGCTGATAGTCATATTACAAAATATTGAACTTTTATAGTTAGTCTACAAGAATATTAAAGGAACATGACTATTCCATCTTTGTTGAACACGGCATTGTTCATCATGCCTCAAATTTTTGTAACATAATGAAAAACGAACAAAGGTTCAACTTTTCTTTTTACTTTCCAAGACTTGGTCCCCAAAACTATGAATACATGACCAGTGAAACTCCACATCATGTATAACCACAAGAATAGAAAGTTATATTCCATGTATGATGTCAAAATATAGTCTACTGTCATGAATAACTAAAAAGAATAAATAAAAAAAATTTAAGAATATTAATGGAATTGGATTGAGGTTCATAAAAATATCTTTTTAATTAACTACTTTGAACAATAATACACTTGTTTCAAACTTATAAAAACTTACTTGCACATATAAACATTTAAAATAATTTTTTCTCCTTAAGAGCTGAGTCATTCTATTATCTTTAAATCTCTGAAATCTTTTATTAGATATACATTTAAGTAAATTAAGTTAATTTTGCTTTTTAATTATTTTAAAAAATACATCCTATGGGGTATCATCAAACAATAGTTTGTGCCTCGAGCCAGCCATGGGCTGTATGTGAGCTATGAGCATTTGAGCACTTGAGGGGACTGGAATGACATTGCTCATCTGACTGGACTGTGTTTCCTTTTTGCTCGCTCTGCCTTTCATCCCACATAGCACCTGAGATGGGTGTGGCTTTCCAAGATGTCAGTCAATCTGCTGACCACAAGACATCACCAAGCAACCCCCTGAAACCTAATCCCTTGCCTTATTGGGGTTGAACTTTCTCAAATGAATGTCTTTCTCCTCAATAAATAGGATGGATGGTTTCAGGCATGTTCTCTCTCTTTCCAACGGACCCTTAAGGTCAAGAGCTGTTCCTGATTCCTGTAAGCAAAAGGTATTTCTGTGTGTTGCATGCTTCTTTTGCCATTTTCTCAGTCATTGATGTAGCCAGCTCTTGTGAACCCAGCTCAAGTCTAGCTAGCGATAAATTTGTACTCATTGGTACCAAATAAATAAAAAATAAACAAATAAATAAATCGAGATATGTGAAATATTTACTGCTCAGTTTTAAAAACAATGAGCAGTAGTCAGGGCCATGTATTACCTTTCAATTCACAGGTAGACCAACAAAAGACTTTTAGGGGTCCATATAAAGAAAGTAATAATAAACTATAATAAATATGAGCTCTATCTAGTACTAAGTCACGATGTTACTTATCTCTCTTACCTTCAAATAACAAAAACAAAGTGTTTCCATCAAAATAACCTCTACAGTTTTTCAGCATTACTTTTAATTACTGAGTTCTAAATATTACTTACACCTGTGTAAACAGTATAAAAAGTAATAGAATGAACAATTATCTACACATTTCCCAGCCTTAGAAGCAGAATATATCAATATTACCTCTAAAATCAACTATAAACACCCCCAAGAAGCCACTCTCCTGAATTTTGCATTTATCCCCTTGCTTTGCCCTAGTACTAACTTTTAATTTAATTCATCTCATCTGTTTATTCCCTGAGAGTAAACATACATGTCACACTATAATTACCAGACAGAAAACCATCAAACAACTAAATTTATGAAACTATTTTCTACACTTTTGAAAAATTTTTGTCATATTATTACATGAATCCTTCTTTATCCAGAGAGGAGAAATTCTAAGACCACCAATGATTGCTTAAAACTACAGACAGTATATAATCCTATATATGCTTAGTTACATTTTAAAGGATATGATGCAAACAGGATTATAAACGGATAGCAACCCATTCAAGAACTAAAAAAAGTTTAAGTGGACACCACAGCAAGCTGAGGAAGTGAAGTCTGAACTGAGTTTAAAGAATAAGTAAGTATTTACTAGTAAATGCTTAAGGGGAAGACCCTCTGTTAATCTGAAACAGGAAAAACAACATTGCCAAATAACACAGGTCAGAAAATTGAATAATTCCAGGAAGGCTAGAACATAAAGTCAGGAGATGAAGCTGGAAAAGTAGATGAAGACTAAATCCTGATGAGAAATTTGGAGTTTTTACTCTAAGCAAAATGAACAGAGGTAGATAAATAGTTTTATTATTATTGTTATTTTGTGTCTATGTCTTTAACAGTGTTTCCCACCACATGCTGACTCTAGATCTTTTTGCTAAGGAGACAAGAATAAATTTGATGGATTGTTTACATCTACTTTACCCCTCTTGCAGCTTTGCCCTTGCCATGGTTCCAGCTATCCCAGAGCAAGGTAAGCAACTGTGCAGAACACAACCAATGGAAGGCATCCTCAACTAGACAATAGACAGCTGAATCACTGACAAATAAGTGTGCCCAGACTAAACCAAAAGAATGGACTAGCCAACCTGCAGACTCATAAGCAAATAAATGCTTACTACTGAGGCTTTGTGAGTGCATATAATGTAACAGATAAAATATAATTGGTAACTGAAACAGGGACTGAAAGTAATCACAGGGCTTAAGCAGAGGCATCAGTGGCCAAACATGTTTTTCAAGACTGTGCTCAGGAATGGAGAACAGATCTGGAGATCATCAATAGTGAACAAAAAAGTTTAAGAAATTATAAAGATGGAATCAGCACCAAAAGGAAAAGACATCTGAAATAAAGTATAGGATATTAATGTAACTTTGGCACAAATTATATACCCTTAATGAAGAAGGAGGATTTTAAGATGATCCTAGGCTTACTGCAAGAATAATTAGAGATGTAACCAACCTAGATTTAAAATCGTTGAAAAGAAGTGTTAAGTGTGTGCTTGTGTTTTAAAAATTAGATGTCTTTTCTTTTTGTTGAGGACAGAAATAATCATTTCAGAACATGGTACTTCTATACTGACAAGGGAAGGCCATTTTTACATACTTTTGTCAAGGTTACAAAACAGAAATCAGAATTTCAAGGTCTTTTTGAGAAAATAAAAATAACCCAAATGACTAATTGCTGAAACATGCTAAGTAAGCAAGAACCCAGTTTCCTAGGATTGAAGACACAGCATCAGATCTTTTGAAATGGTCTTTCCAAAATGAAAATCAGAGGGTTTGAATTAAATCTTTTTCCCCCCTCTTCACATTCAGCTTCTGTTATTTTATAGTTTATTTTTCAATTCATAATTTCAAACAGCCCAGATGGAGGATACAGCAATAAGTTCTATAAAATTTTTGAGAAAAATATTTGTTTTATTTCAAAGTATAATATAATCATATAATTGTTTAATTCAAAGCCATAAAAGCAAATCATTTTATTCAGTATGGAAATGCCATGTATGTCTACATATCTACATATGGATAGATATAAAAATACACATATATATGCAATTTAAAGTTTAAAATATATACATAATTTATGAAAACTGACACACAACTAGAAGTAGCTTAATGTTGGTGGCACATTCTAAGAAATGCATTGTCATGTCACGTATAACTAATTAGAATAATACAAAAAAACCTCAAATGCATTGTCATGCTATCTCATCATTGTACGAACATCATAGAGTGCATTTATACAAACCAGCACAGGTATAATGTCACTAGGCAATGTAATATTATTGGACCAGCACTACATATGTGGCCTGCCATTGATTGTAAGGTCATTATGCAGTGCATGACTATACAGTAAAACAGTGAGAGGCCAAAATAGTGAGAGAGAGAGGCTAGAACACCAAAAGTACATTTGCCAAAGGAAATTAAAATGAGACAAATGCTAAATACAAGAGTAGAGGTGACAAGGACAAAAGGATGGTCATGCAATTACACTTCTGGGCTAAGGAGTGTAAAAATTCAATGACATAAAAATATCCATTTTCTTTCATCTTTACAAAACAGTCTTGCTTATGTGCCAGTAGTTAACAAACCAGGTATGGAAGCTAAAATGTAGGAATACTTAAACCAAGCTTGTATATGACAAACTCTTTTACAACTACTGCTGATAAATATTAGAGAAAAAAACAATCTTGCAAAGTGTATACCCATGCTTCTAATGCAATATGGGTGTATAAAAAGTCTGAAAACTTACCTCTTTCTCAGTGTCTCTAGAGATACATGTCCACTGGTTCTCCTTCACACTGTATGCCCAGAAGTCAGCAAGATCTTGTGTTCCATCCCAGCCACCAAACAAATAAACGGTCTCTATAAAAATCAGAAAAATATGTATTAAAAAAAAACAAAGGCTGGGGCTGCAGCTCAGTATTGGAGTGCTTGCCTCACACTCGAGGGTCAGATACTGGGTTCAATCCTCAGTACCATATTAAAATAACCAAATTAATAAAGGTATTGTGTCCATCAAATTAAAACAAAACAAAACCCAAAGAACTTGAGGAGAAAGTGTAGATACCAGATCTAGTCAGTTGTTTCAGATATTATGTAAGAAAGTATCTAACTAAATTTTTATGAAATTTTAAAAAACTGATAACTTTCAAAATGCATAGATTAGCATTTCCTAAACATGAGTATATGGAAAAGCTGCAGCAAATCACTATTGCAAGAGATTTATTTTAAAAAGAGATCACTAGGACATGTTCCTCAAGTTTCTGATTCCATACTTCTTTAATAGGTTAAAAAAGAAGAGTCTGGGGACTGGGGTTGTGGCTCAGAGGTACAGCCCTAGCCTAGCATGCATGAGGCACTGGGTTTGATCCTCAGCGCTAACTAAAATTAAAATAAAGATATTGTGTTCACCTATAACTAAAAAATATTAAAAAAAAGAAAAAAAAGTTTATTTTTATTGTACCCAGAGGAACCTAATGTGCAGTGGAGTTTCTGAGTTAGGTAATGAAAAACTCACATTTATCAGTTCCTTAACAATGAAACCACTTTTTTATTTACTAAAGACCTATGACATTTTTTTCTCAGATTATAAAAATAAGAAATCTTGGAAGTATATGCATTATCAAAGTATAACATAAGGTCTGGGGTTGTGGCTCAGTGTTAGAGTGCTTGCCTAGCATGTGTAAGGCCCTGGGTTCAATCCTTAGCACCACATAAAAATGAATAAGTAAAATAAAGGTATTGTGTCCAACTACAACTAAAAAAAAAACCAAAAATTACAACATAAGAACACCTAGCTATTTCTGAAAAAAGCAACTTTTAAAAAGGCTTTTAAATTTCTCTAAAAAAAACTGGCTGTAAGTTGAAGTTATTTATTTTAGGAATAAACTGATTTATAGCTTATAGCTTTCATGGAAATCGGTGAAATTTTTTTCAAATATACTGTGGAAGGTTTAATGCCTCATACATTAACATTTCAAGGTATCATTCTGGATATCTTGAAAATTAGGTTTCTTCTGACTAAAATGTCTATTACATTTATGGACTTTATCACTGTAAAAAAAATGGTGTCTTACTTGATGAACAGTGACTCTTTATACATTAGGCTACATCACAGATCCTTCCTTATACAATGACACTGCATTTTCATTTTCCAAATATTTCCCCCTTTTTAAATATCATACTTATGTGTACTGGTTACACAAGTCCACCATTTTTTTTTTTTTTAAGTTAAGTAAAACACCAAAGGAAAACTGTAAAGCTGCCCTAGGCCTGTCATCTAAATGGTGTCCCACCATGAAGGATTATATTTCAAAGTGCATGTGGAAATTAGGTTACACTATGAAATGTCTTGCCATTCACAGAGCTGAGCTGTCATATTTTAATATAATTTCAAAATCTAAGTAAATTTTCTAAGTGAAACATCCATTTTAACCCCAAGTAACTTGGAGATACAAAAACAATGCTTCTCTACTCTCTAAATAAGAATAGCGTTTTGGAGCAGGACTAAGTTCTAGTGCTAACTGGGTGATCAAGTACAGGTTATGTAACTTTCACACATCTTATTTTTTCATTTAAAAAATTCTGAGCATTGTGAAGTTCTTCAGCTCTAAGTTACATGAAAATATTCTACAGGCTGTCAAGCATGAAGAAAATTTCCACTTTTATTACATGAACAAAACACAATCCTTGAAACTCTAGACAGAGTAATTAAATAGTAGAAAGAAAGGAATACAAATAGGAGAAGAAGAATTCAAACTATCACTGTTTGTGGATGACATGATTCTATATTTAGAAGAGCCAAAAAAATCCCACCAGAAAACTTCTACAACTTATAAATGAATTCAGCAAAGTAGAAGGTTATAACACAAACACCCATAAATCAAATGTGATTTACATCACTGATGAATCTACTACCCCATTCACAATAGCTTAGAAAAAAAAAGACCTCTACAATGAAAATTATAGAACACTAAAAAAAAAAAAAAAATGAAGGAGACCTTAGAAGATGGAAAACCTCCCATGCTCCTAAATAGGCAGAATATTGTCAAAATTGCCATACTACTAAAAGCGTTATAAAAACTTAATGAAATTCCTATTAATATCCCAATGATATTCTTCATAGAAATAGAAAAAGCAATCATGAAATTCATTTGGAAAAATAAAAAACCCAGAATAGCTAAAGCAATCCTTAGCAAGAAGAGTAAAGCAGAAGGCATCACAATACCAGACCTTAAACTATATTTCAGAGCCACAGTAATCAAAATGGCATGATATTGGCACCAAAACAGACACATAAACCAGTGGTACAATATATAAAACAAATCCACATAAATACAGCTACCTCATATAGACAAAGTTGCCAAAAACATTCACTGGAGAAAAGATAGTCTATTCAATAAATGGTGCTGGGAAAATTGGAAATCCACATATAACAAAGTGAAATTAAACCCCTATCTCATCCTGCACAAAACTCAACTCAAAGTGGATCAAAGACTTAGGCACCAGAACAAGAGATCCTGTGCCTAACAGAAAAGTAGGCTCAAATCTTCACTACGTTGGCTTAGGATCTGACTTCCTTAACAAGACTCCTAAAGCACAAGAAGTAAAATCAACCAATAAATGGGATGGATTCAAACTAAAAAGCTTCTTCACAGCAAAGAAAACAACAACATGAAGAGAGAGCCTACAGAATGGGAGAAAAATCATTACCATGTGTACCTCAGATAGACCACTGATCTCCAGAATATATAAAGAACTCAAAAACCTTAACAACAAAAATCAAATAACCCTGTCAATAAATGGGCTAAGGAACTGAACAGACACTTTACAGAAGAAAAAATATAATTGATCGATCAATAAATATATGAAAAAATGTTCAATATCTCCAGCAGTCCAGAGAAATGCAAATCAAAACTACTCTAAGATTTCATCTCACTCCAGTGGCAATCATCAAGAATACAAGCAACAGGGGCTAGGATTGTGGCATGAGCGCTCACCTAGCACTTGCGGGGCCCTGGGTTTGATCCTCAGCACCATATAAAAATAAATGAATGGAATAAAGGTATTGTGTCCAACAACTAAAAAAATAAACATTAAAAAAACATTAAAAAAAAAAAGAATACAAGCAACAATAAATGTTGGCAAGGATGTGGGAAAAAAGGTCCACTCATACATTGCTGGTAAGACTGCAAATCGGTGTAACCACTTTGGAAAGCAGTATGGAGATTCTTCAGAAAACTCAGAATTACCATTTGATTCAGCTATCCCACCCCTTGGCATATACCCAAAGGACTTAAAATCAGAATACTACAGTGATGCATCCTCATCAATGTTTATAAGCAACTCAATTCATAATAGCTAAAGTGTGGAAAGAACCTAGGTGCCCTTCAACAGATGAATGGATAAAAAAATGTTATAGCTATACATACACACACACACACACACAGGAATATCACTCAGCTTTAAAGAAGAATAAAATTATGGTATTTGTTGGTAAATGGATGGAGAAGAATATCATGCTAAGCGAAATAAGCCATCCAAAAAAAAAAAAAATGAAAACCTGAAAGTTTTCTCTGATACGCAGATGCTAATTCACAATGCACAGGAGGTGGGACTAGGGAGGAATAATGTTATTTTAGATAAAGGGGAGTGAAGGGAGGAAAAGTGGTATGGAGGTAGGAAAGGTAGTAGAATGAATCAGACATTATTACCCAAATGTACATATGTACTGGTGGGATTCCACACCATGTATACCCACAAGAATGAGAAATTATACTCTATTATATATGAAGTATCAAAGTACATTCTACTGTCTACTAATTAAAGAAATTTTTAAAATGCGCAAAAATTAAAAATACTCTATGTCATTCCTAAGTATTACAGATGCAATAAAAACAGTATTACTGTAGGACTCGGGTAATGGCTCAGCAGTAGAGCGCTTGCCTTGCTTGTGTGAGGCCATGGGTTTGATCCTCTGCACCACATAAAAATAAATAAATAAAACAAAGGTATTATGTCCAACTACAACTAAAAAATAAATATTAAAAAAATGGTATTACTCTATCTTATCCCATGTCCAATTCAGCACCTAGAACCCTTTGACACTATATACATGTGAAATAATGGCAATTATTTTAAACTAGTCATAAACTGTCATATCTCAAAACTATAAAACAATCCATTGTCATTAGTAATGTTGTTTCCCAAATGGCACACAGTGATGTCCAGACACAATTTTACAGGGAAAAAAATTTAAAGAATTTTTCATCTGGCTTAAAAATTATTTGCCAAGGCCTCACAATAAAGGCAATTAACCCTGTTAAATTCCGAAACTCAAGAGAAGGAGGGGGCACATAACTAAAATAGCAAGAGCAATTGACCTTTTGTTTTATGGTGTTTCTGAGCACCCTCTGGATAAGGTTACCCTGGTTCATTAACTTTAATAACCCTTCCTCTTAGGCTCTGGGTTCTCAATGTTCTTTCTGAAAAGCAGGTCTCTTTGTACACATAAATTCTCACAGCAAAGAAAACCCACATTTCCACAACAGCCTCATTGATAGCTGAGCAAAATAAAATCTGGCACAGAGCATGCATCCCAATGGAATTAAGCCAAGATGTCATTCCTATCCATGGAAGCTTTGTGGTCCCAGTTGAAGTTTTAAAGTAAAATTAAATGAATTGGATGGAAACTGGACCTTTTGACACACCTGAATAAAATATATAACAAAAATTTTCAATTTAATCATCTAATTATTTAAGACATTCAAAAAATAAATTATCTTGAAACAAACAGCAGCAAAAGTATTAATTAATGCATAAAATATATAAAAGGCCTTTAAAAATTATGGTAATAATTGCAG